CATGTTCTTTAAATTTACGGATAGCCAGGGGCACACTCCAACACTCAGACATAATTTACAAACGAAGCATTTGCGTTTAGTGAGTCCGCCAGATCAGAGACAGTAGAGATAACCAGGGATGTTCTCTTGATAAGTGCGTGAATTGGACCATGTTCCTGTCCTGCTAAGCATTCAAAATGTATTGAGTACTTTTGGGTGTCAGGGAAAATGTATGGAGTAAAAAGTACATTATTTGCTTTAGGAATGTAGTGAAGTAAAAGTTGTCAAAAATATAAATTGTAAAGTACAGATACCCCAAACACTACTTAAGTAGTACTTTAAAGTATTTTTACTTAAGTACTTTACACCACTGACTAATTTATCGCATGGTGATGTCACCATGGAAGGCCAAAACTCAGGTGCATCCTGTTTCCATTGCTAATCCTTGAGATGTTTCTACAACTTGATTGGAGTCCACCTGTGGTAAATTCAATTGATTGGACATGATTTGGAAAGGCACACACCTGTCTATATGAGGTCCCACAGTTGACAGTGCAAGTCAGAGCAAAAACTAAGCCATGAGGTCGAATAAATTGTCCGTAGAGCTCCGAGACAGGGTTTTGTCGAGGCACAGATCTGGGGAAGGGTACCAAAAAATGTCTGCAGCATTGAAGATCCCCAAGAACACAGTGGCCTCCATCATTATTAAATTGAAGAAGTTTGGAACCACCAAGAATCTTCCTAGAGCTGGCCGCCCTGGCCAAACTGAGCAATCAGGTGAGAAGGGCCTTGGTCAGGGAGGTGACCAAGAACCCGATGGTCACTCTGACAGAGCTCCAGAGAGCCTCTGAGGAGATGGGAGAACCTTCCAGAAGGACAACCATCTCTGCAGCACTCCACCAATCAGGCCTTTATGGTAGAGTGGCCAGACGGAAGCCACTCCTCAGTAAAAGGCACATGCCAACCCGCTTGGAGTTTGCCAAAAGGCACCTTAAAGACTCTCATACCATGAGAAACAAGATTCTCTGGTCTTATGAAACCAAGATTGAACTCTTTGGCCTGAATGCCAAGTGTCACATCTGGAGGAAACCTGGCACCATCCCTACAGTGAAGCGTGGTGGCAGCATCATGCTGTGGGGATGTTTTTCAGTGGCAGGGACTGGGAGACTAGTCAGGATCGAGGGAAAGATGAACGGAGGAAAGTATAGCGAGATCCTTGATGAAAACCTGCTTCAGAGCGCTCAGGACCTCAGACTGGGGCGAAGGTTCACCTTCCAACAGGACAATGACCCTAAGCACACAGCCAAGACAACGCAGGAGTGGCTTCGGGACAAGTCTCTGAATGTCCTTGAGTGGCCCAACCAAAGCCCGAACATGAACCCGATCGAACATCTGTAGAGAGACCCTAAAATATCTGTGCAGCGACGCTCCCCATCCAACTTGACAGACCTTGACAGGATCTGCAGAGAAGAATGGGAGAACCTCCCCAAATACAGGTGTCAAATCAAAATCAAATCAAATTGTCACATACACGTGTTTAGCAGATGCTATTGCGTGTTTAGCGAAATGCTTGTGCTTCCGGCTCTGACAGTGCAGTAATATCTAACAATTTCACAACGTATACCCAACACACACAATCAAAGTAAGGAATGGAATTAAGAAATATACATACAGTTGAAGTCGGAAGTTTACATACACATAGGTTGGAGTCATTAAAACTCGTTTTTCAACCACTCCACAAATTTCTTGTTAACAAACTATAGTTTTGGCAAGTCGGTTAGGACATGTACTTTGTGCATGACACAAGTAATATTTCCAACAATTGTTTACAGACAGATTATTTAACTTATAATTCACTGTATCACAATTCCAGTGGGTCAGAAGTTTGCATAAACTAAGTTGACTGTGCCTTTAAACAGCTTGGAAAATTCCAGAAAATGATGTCATGGCTTTAGAAGCTTCTGATAGGCTAATTGACATCATTTGAGTCAATTGGAGGTGTACCTGTGGATGTATTTCAAGGCCTACCTTCAAACTCAGTGCCTCTTTGTTTGACATCATGGGAAAATCAAAATAAATCAGCCAAGACCTCAGAAAAAAAATGGTAAACCTCCACAAGTCTGGTTCATCCGTGGGAGCAATTTCCAAACGCCTGAAGGTACCACGTTCATCTGTACAAACAATAGTACGCAAGTATAAACACCATGGGACCACGCAGCCGTCATACCGCTCAGGAAGGAGACACGTTCTGTCTCCTAGAGCTGAACGAACTTTGGTGCTAAAAGTGCAAATCAATCCCAGAACAACAGCAAAGGACCTTGTGAAGATGCTGGAGGAAACAGGTACAAAAGTATCTATATCCACAGTAAAACTAGTCCTATATCGATATAACCTGAACGGCCGCTCAGCAAGGAAGAAGCCACTGCTCCAAAACCGCCATAAAAAAGCCAGACTACGGTTTGCTAAAGCACATGGGGACAAAGATCATACTTTTTGGACAAATGTCCTCTCGTCTGATGAAACAAAAATAGAACTGTTTGGCCATAATGACCATCGTTATGTTTGGAGGAAAAAGTGGTACGCTTGCAAGCCGAAGAACACCATCCCAACCATGAAGCACGGGGGTGGCAGCATTTGTGGGCAGAACTGAAAAAGTGTGTGCGAGCAAGGAGGCCTACAAACCTGACTCAGTTACACCAGCTCTGTCAGGAGGAATGGTCCAAAAGTCACCCAACTTATTGTGAGAAGCTTGTGGAAGGCTACCCAAAACGTTTGACCGAAGTTAAACAATTTAATGCTACCAAATACTAATTGACCCACTGGGAATGTGATGAAAGAAATAAAAGCTTCAATAAATCATTCTCTCTACTATTATTCTGTCATTTCACATTCTTAAAATAAAGTGTTGATCCGAACTGACCTAAGACAGTGAATTTTTACTAGGATTAAATGTCAGGAATTGTGAAAAACTTTTAAATGTATTTGGCTAAGGTGTATGTAAACTTCCGACTTCAACTGTATATGGACGAGCAATGACAGAGCGGCATGGACTAAGATACAATAAAATATTATAGAATACAGTATATAGATATGAGATGAGTAATGCAAGATATGTAAACATTATTAAAGTGACTAGTGTTCCATTTCTTAAAGTGGCCAGTGATTTCTAATCTATGTCTGTAGGTAGCAGCCTCTAGTGTGGTAGTGATGGCTATTTAACAGTCTGATGGCCTTGAGATAGAAGCTGTTTTTCAGTCTCTCGGTCCCAGCTTTGATGCACCTGTACTGACCTCGCCTTCTGGATGATAGTGGGGTGAACAGGCAGTGGCTCGGGTGGTTGATGTCCTTGATTATATTTTTGGCCTCCCTGTGACATCGTGTGCTGTAGGTGTCCTGGAGGGCGGGTAGTTTGCCCCCGGTAATACCCCCGGTAAGACCGCACCACCCTCTGGAGAGCCCTGCGGTTGCGGGCGGTGCAGTTGCCGTACCAGGCAGTGATACAGCCCGACAGGATGCTCTCAATTGTGCATCTGTAAAAGTTGTGCATCTGTAAAAGTGCCAAGCATGTAGCGTCATACCCAAGAAGACTCGAGGCTGTAATTGCTGCCAAAGGTGCTTCAAAAAAGTACTGAGTAACGGTTCTGAATACTTACGTGAATGTGATATATCCGTTTTAGTTTTCTTATACATTTGCAAAAACTTCTAAACCTATTTTTGCTTCGTCATTATGGGGTATTGTGTGTCGATTGATGAGGGGGAAAAAAACAATTTTTTTTAAATTAATTTTAGAATAAGGTTGTAACTTAACAAAATGTGGAAAAAGTCAAGGGGTCTGAATACTTTCCGAATGCACTGTATATAAAACACAGGAAAATCACGTTTTTGAGCTCACTGGGACTTTAAGACAATGTTCCACCTCTCTCCAAAAGTCATTTTAATACATGACATCCAGTTTCAATCAGAACTTGTATCAAGTCCATTGATATTGAGTTATTTAGTGTAATTATTTGATGCACCTTGACATTAAACCTAGTCAAAATGAGTACAATAGAAAGAGGCATACTTGTGATAATAGTCTTATTTATGGGCTGAAACGTGTGTGAAAATGTCATTGATACTATTGTACTTTTAAAAGTGAAGAATTAAACATGCAATTTAATGGAGGGACTGGTTTTTATATATTAATTGCAAATCTCATCAGTAGCTTTAGCCATTTTGGAATTAGAAATGCATGTTGTAATGTCCAATGTAGGCCTACTTCAAAAGTAAAATATGATGTACATCTACTTCAAATGCAAGCTGTTTTTGCAGGACAATTCTTTGTGCACCCTTTTTCAGCCTCATTCTCCAAGATCTCCAAACTGTTTTGTAGTGTACTCTAATAATGCTAAGCAATACCAGAAGCCTGAATACCAATTTACTTGTATCATAACATTGAAGCTGTAATAAAAGGTAGCCTAAAACGAGAAGATATTCAATAAATTTTTACATTTTAGTCATTTAGCAGACGCTCTTATCCAGTATGAGTGCATACATGTTCATACTGACCCCCCGTGGGAATCGTACCCACAACCCTGGCGTTGCAAGCGCCATGCTCTACCAACTGAGCTACACGGGGCCTTAATAAAATATATTTTGTGAAAATATGCATTAGAGTTAAACCTGTCAAAATGTTCATTAGAGAGTATGAAAATGTATGCACTCACTAACTGTAAATCGCTCTGGATAAGAGCGTCTGCTAAATGACTAAAATGTAAATGTTAAACCTGTCAAATTAAAAGGACATGCATTGAAATTATGTGCTGCTCTTAAAATATGAATTAGGGAATTTCACATAAACTGTGAAGGGTGTGAGCTGAATGAAGAAACAAACTATGTGCATTGTTGTCCTAGCTTGTGACCCTATTCATCAATTAAAAGTTTCTGATCATGTTTTCTTTTTAACAAAACACTAAATACAAATGTTTAGTCTTTTCTCTTGTAATCAGTCATCCAATCAAACTATTTCTGTCCTTCGGCACGCCTAAGCAAAGTTGTACGTCCTTCGCAGATTCCGTAGTCAGGAAGTAACGCTTTGTTTACATCGTGAGGTTTTCAGGGGAAAATAACTCAAACCAGAGCTGTAAAATAGGTAATTTGTTGGATTTACATGTGTTAGTAATATGTAATCATATTGATTGCACATAGATAGCAAAGGATATTTCAATTCAGAAGAAAACATTGCCCGCAGTTTGAAGCGCTAGCTAACGTTAGTTACAGTAGCTAAACGTTCTCCCCCACTGTACCAGGATCATTTAGCTAGCATATTCTATACGTTTGTCAGTCAGCTAGAGAACGTTGTCTAGCTTTTTGTATTAAGATTTTGATTTTATTTCAGACATGGCCGACGACGTACTCTTTGAGTTCCTCCACATGGAGATGGTGTCCCATATTTACAAAGACCAAGCCTCGAGAGGGGAAATGGACAAGGTAGGTTAAGCTCGTAACGTCACACATGACAGCCACTTGACATACCCACTCAACATTGTTTGAAAGATTGGTCATCATCAAAAGGTGTGTTTGTTGAATCCATTATTGGCACATTTAGCTATTTATGTTTTCTTTCCACAGGATAGGGCCACTTGTGTGTCCACTCTGGAAGGCATGGGCTTCAGAGTAGGACAGGGGCTTATCGAAAGGTAGGACAACAGTTTTCACTATTGCATATGCCCAGTTGTACTGTATTTCAGTTTGACCTAAGTTCCACCTTTAAGTACTTTGGTATCAGTTTACCTGATTGAAATGTTGTTACCTGAATGACATCCTCAATATATGTAGGCTAACATTGTGTGTTTTCTGACACTCCAGGTTTACAAAAGATTCGCCCAGCTTCAAAGATGACTTGGATGTCATGAAATTCATCTGTAAAGACTTCTGGATAAATGTCTTCAGAAAGCAAATTGACAACCTTAGGACAAACCACCAGGTGTGCCCATATTTGAAAGATACTTTAGTTCAGGAATACAGCTGCTGATGTACCACACTACCCATGGCCTTCCTCTCTAATATTCATGGTCTTTCTTTCTTGTTTCTACACAGGGTACTTATGTTTTACAAGACAACAAGTTTGCACTCTTGACACAGTTTTCCAGCGGGAAGCAGTACCTTGAGGAAGCTCCGAAAGTAAGACATCCAATCATTTTTAAAAAGTAGACTCTAGAAACGACTCTAAAAAGAGTTGTTTCTAGTTCTACAACAGTGGTCTCAGAGAAACTACGTCTGGTAAGACGAGGGGATGGGCTGTGTGTCTATTTGTCAATAACAGCTGGTGCGCGATGTCTAATATTAAAGAAGTCTCGAGGTATTTCTCGCCTGAGGTAGAGTACCTTATGATAAGCTGTAGACCACACTATCTACCAAGAGTTCTCATCTATATTATTCGTAGCCGTCTATTTACCACCACAAACCGATGCTGGCAATAAGACCGCACTCAACAAGCTGTATAAGGCCATAAGCAAACAAGAAAATGCTTATCCAGAAGCGTCTCTCCTAGTGCCCGGGGACTTTAATGCAGGCAAACTTAAATCCATTTTACCTAATTTCTACCAGCATGGCACATGTGCAACCAGAAGAAAAAAAACTCTAGACCACCTTTACTCCATACACAGAGACGCAAAGCTCTCCCTCGCCCTCCATTTGGCAAATCTGACCATAATTCTATCCTCCTGATTCCTGCTTACAAGCAAAAACTAAAGCAGGAAGTACCAGTGACTAGCTCAATATGGACGTGGTCAGATGACGCAGATGCTACGATACATTACTGTTTTGCTAGCACAGACTGGAATATGTTCCGGGATTCATCCAATGGCATTGAGGAGTATACCACCTCAGTCATCGGCTTCATCAATAAGTGCATCGACGACATCGTCCCCACAGTGACCGTACGTACATATCCCAACCAGAAGCTATGGATTACAGGCTAAATCCGCATCGAGCTAAAGGCTAGAGCTGCCGCTTTCAAGGAGCGGGACACTAATCCGGACGCTTATAAGAAATCCCGCTACGCCCTCAGACGAACCATCAAACAGGCAAAGCGTCAATACAGGATTAAGATTGAATCCTACTACACTGGCTCTGATGCTCGTTGGATGTGGCAGGGCTTGAAAACTATTACGGACTACAAAGGGAAACCCAGCCGCGAGCTGCCCAGTGACGCGAGCCTACCAGATGAGCTAAATGCCTTTTATGCTCGCTTCGAGGCAAGCAACACTGAAGCATGCATGAGAGCACCAGCTATTCCGGACGACTGTGTGATAACGCTCTCGGTAGCTGATGTGAGCAAGACCTTTAAACATGTCAACATTCACAAAGCCGCGGGGTCAGATGGATTACCAGGACGTGTACTCAACAGCATCATCCCGGATACCCTAGACCCACTCCAATTCGCATATCGCCCCAACAGATCCATAGATGATGCAATCGCACTCCACACTGTCCTTTCCCACCTGGACAAAAGAAACACCTATGTGAGAAAGCTGTTCAATGACTACAGCTCAGCGTTCAACACCATAGTGCCCACAAAGCTCATCACTAAGCTAAGAAACCTGGGACTAAACACCTCCCTCTGCAACTGGATCCTGGACTTCCTGGCGGGCCGCCCCCAGGTGGTAAGGGTAGGCAACAACACGTCTGCCACGCTGATCCTCAATACTGGGGCCCCTCAGGGGTGCGTGCTTAGTCCCCTCCTGTACTCCGTTCACCTACAACTGCATGGCCAAACACAACTCCAACACCATCATTAAGTTTACTGACGACACAACAGTGGTAGGCCTGATTAACGATGAGAGCCTATAGGGAGGGGGTCAGAGACCTGACAACAACCTTTTCCTCAATGTGAGCAAGACAAAGGAGCTGATTGTGGACTACAGGAAAAGGCGGGCCGAACAGTCCCCCATTAACATCGACGGGGCTGTAGTGGAGCGGGTCGAGAGTTCCTTGGTGTCCACATTACCAACAAACTATCATGGTCCAAACACACCAAGACAGTCGTGAAGAGGGCACGACAAAACCTTTTCCCCCTCAGGAGACTGAAAAGATTTGGCATGCGTCCCCAGATCCTCAAAAAGTTATACAGCTGCACCATCAAGAGCATCCGGACCGGTTGCATCACTGCCTGGTATGGTAACTGCCTGGCTTCTGACCGTAAGGCGCTAAAGAGAGTAGTGCGTATGGCCCAGTACATCACTGGGGCCAAGCTTCCTGCCATCCAGGACCTATATACTAGGCGGTGTCAGATTAAAGCCACAAAAATGGTCTAAGACTCCAGTCATCCAAGTCTGTTCTCTCTGCTACCGCATGGCAAGCAGTACCAGAGTGCCAAGTCTAGGACCAAAAGGCTCCTTAACAGCTTCTACCCCCAAGCAATAAGACTGCTGAACAATTAATCAAATGGCCACCTGGACTATTTACATTGACACCCCCCCCTTTCCATTTGTATTTACACTGCTGCTACCCACTGTCTATTATCTATGTACAGTTGAAGTCAGAAGTTTACATACACTTAGGTTGGAGTCATTAAAACGCATTTTTCAACCACTCCACACATTTCTTGTTAACAAACTATAGTTTTGGCAAGTTGGTTAGGACATCTACTTTGTGCATGACACAAGTAATATTTCCAACAATTGTTTACAGACAGATTATTTCACTTATAATTCACTGTATCACAATTCCAGTGGGTCAGAAGTTTACATACAATTAGTTGACTGTGCCTTTAAACAGCTTGGAAAATTCCAGAAAATTATGTCATGGCTTTAGAAGCTTCTGATAGGCTAATTGACATCATTTGAGTCAATTGGAGGTGTCCCTGTGGCAGCATCATGCTGTGGGGGTGCTTTGGTGCAGGAGGGAGTGGTGCACTTCACAAAATAGATGGCATCATGAGGAAAGAAAACGATGTGTATATATTGAAGCAACATCTCAAGACATCAGTCATGATATTATGAAGTTAAAGCTTGGTCGCAAATGGGTCTTCCAAATGGACAATGACCCCAACCATACTTCCAAAGTTGTGGCAAAATGGCTTAAGGACAACAAAGTCAAGGTATTGGAGTGGCCATCACAAACCCTGACCTCAATCCTATAGAACATTTGTGGGCAGAACTGAAAAAGCATGTGCGAGCAAGGAGGCCTACAAACCTGACTCAGTTACACCAGCTCTGTCAGGAGGAATGGGCCAAAATTCACCCAAATTATTGTGGGAAGCTTGTGGAAGGCTACCCAAAACGTTTGACCCAAATTAAACAATTTAAAGGCAATGCTACCAAATACTAATTGAGTTTATGTAAACTTCTGACCCACTGGGAATGTGAAATAAAAGCTGAAATAAATCATTCTCTCTACTATTATTCTGACATTTTACATTCTTAAAATAATGTGGTGATCCTAACTGACCTAAAACAGGGAATCTTTACTAGGATTAAATGTCAGGAATTGTGAAAAACTGAGTTTAAATGTATTTGGCTAAGGTGTATGTAAACTTCCTACTTCAACTGTATAGTCACTTTACCCCTACCTACATGTACAAATTACCTCTACTAACCTGTACCACTGCACATTGACTCGGTACCGGTACCCCCTGTATATAGCCTCGTTATTTTATTGTGTTACTTTTTATTATTTTAAGTGCTTTTAAGTAAGCATTTCACGGTAAGGTCTACACCTGTTGTATTCGGTGTATGTGACAAATAAAGTTTGATTTGATTTAAATCCTGGTTCTGGGGACCTAGGATGGGAACACATTTTTTTCCAGCCCGGCACTAACGCCAAGTTAAACTTGATAAGTTAAAGTATGCATGTTAGTACTTGGATGGAACGAATGCTTGTACACCCTGTTTGTCCCTAGGTTTAGCATTATTCTAGAATATTCAGCCAAATAAATTGAAATATAGGCCTTTAGTGATTTAACTCAGAAGCAAATGTTCAGCCATAACGGTCTGGTGTGTTTCACCACAGTATCTTGCATACTCCTGTGGATTGGTGAGAGGAGCTTTGTCTAACCTGGGAATGGACTGCGTGGTGACAGCTGAGATCTCCCTAATGGCCTCATGTGAGTCTCTTTTATCATCTTCATTTATCATATACCATCATACCACACCAAACTGTACCGATACTACAGAGGTTTCAAATCAGAGAGTATTCAGTGACAGGCACTTCCTGTAAAGGTTGTTAAGCAGACCAGGGCAAGACTTTGGCTAGCTGGTTGTCAATGGGGAAAATGACAAACTCATCCCTTGTTGGTAGGTTTTCTCTCACTCCAAACACATCTAGCTTTGAGACAGTTTCTTAAAGAGCTGAATGTGTCTTCACTATATAGCCGCGAAAGTGACAAGATTATACAATTCCATATTTGTCAAAAACAACTTTTATTTCAAAGGACTGCTGTACTGCACATGCACAGCTTGGCAACTTCAGACGATCTGGTGTTTCTAAGTAGTTAGCTTGAAGGACATGACATGCTAAGCTAGCGTTTCAGCGGTTTCTATTGAAACAGCCGTTAGAGGCACCTCTTTCTATATGGGCCCTCTTTGGACACCAACAGCTCTATCAGCTTGGTGCAGAACCTGAAGCACTTCAGTGATTCATTTTCCATTATTAAAGGAGCTACATGTAATATGTTTGTGGCCAGCAAATCTCTTGTCAAATTGACTGGGGGTGAGCCATTTGTATAAGTACTGCGCGCTAACGGATTGTAATCGGTTAGCGTGCCACTCATGCTTAGTTAATTTTACAACAAGAACTGGTCTGTCTTTTGTTGACCAATAAGAAGACTGCACCATTAGAATGCAATTTTGTGTGGGCCCAATACATTTTTTGGGGGAAAGATGTTGTGAAACACTAATTCCACTATTACTGTAGATACACTATACAAATACTTATTTTCCACCATAATTTGCAAATAAATTCATAAAAAATCCTACAATGTGATTTTCTGGATTTTTTTTCCTCATTTTGTCTGTCATAGTTGACGTGTACCTATGATGAAAATTACAGGCCTCTCTCATCTTTTTAAGTGGGAGAACTTGCACAATTGGTGGCTGACTAAATACTTTTTTACTTTTTTCCCCCACTGTATATACAAAAGTATGTGGACACACCTTCAAATTAGTGGATTTGGCTATTTCAGCCACACCCGTTGCTGACAGGTGTATAAAATCGAGCACACCACCATGCAATCTCCATAGACAAACATTGGCAGTAGAATGGCCTTTCTGAAGAGCCCAGTGACATTCAACGTAGCACCGTCATAGGATGCCACCTTTCCAACAAGTCAGTTTGTGAAATGTCTGCCGAGCTAGAGCTGCCCCAGGCAACAGTAAGTGCTGTTATTGTGAAGTGGAAACGTCTAGGAGCAACAACGGCTCAGCCGTGAAGTGGTAGGCCACACAAGCTCACAGAACGGGACCACCGAGTGCTGAAGCGGGTAGCGCGTAAAAATTGTCTGTCCTCTGTTGCAATACTCACTACCGAGTTCCAAACTACTTCTGGAAGCAACGTCAACACAAGAACTGTTCGTCGGGAGCTTCATGAAATGGGTTTCCATGGCCAAGCAGCCACACACAAGCTTAAGATCACCATGCGCAATGCCAAGTGTCGGCTTGAGTGGTGTAAAGCTCACCGCCATTGGACTCTGGAGCAGTGGAAACGCGTTCTCTGGAGTGATAAATCACGCTTCACCTTTCCTGTTTCAGCATGACATTGCCCCTGTGCACAAAGCGAGGTCCATACAGAAATTGTTTGTCGAGATTGCTGTGGAAGAACTTGACTGGCCTGCACAGAGTATGAATTGGGACGCCGACTGCGAGCCAGGCCTAATCGCCCATCATCAGTGCCCGACCTCACTAATGCTCTTGTGGCTGAATGGAAGCAAGTCCCCACAGCAATATTCCAACATCTAGTGGAAAGCCTTCCCAGAAGAGTGGAGGCTGTTATAGCCGCAAAGGGGGGACCAACTCCATATTAGTGTCCATGATTTTGAGAATGAGATGTTCGTCGAGCAGGTGTCCACATACTTTTGGTCATTTAGTGTATATTAAAGACATTTTCTGAAATTACAATGCAAAAATATGAATGACAAGGTGCATAATATGTGGATACTTTGTCAGACAATGTTTGTATTTTTAAGTAATATTACCACCTTTTGTGGTCCCACACAGGTAAATTTCAGGTCGTGATTCAGAAGATTTGAATTGGATCCACCTCTTTATGATGGTATGTTCATCTTTGGCAATAAAATAATGTGAATGTCAACCTTAAGGTCCTTAAATGTCATCACATTGAAGGTGGTTTACTACATATTGTTTTTGTATTAAAATGTTTATTTATTTTCCTTTTTAGAAAGCAATAGTACATGGTAAAGAATTACACACTTGGTAAAGAATAGTACATGGTAAAGAATTACACACTTGGTAAAGAATAGTACATGGTAAAGAATTACAAAAAAAAGAATCCTCTATTTAATTGTCTTTATCTGATTATTTTGTATCCTGTCTTTGTATATTAACTACACATTTTCTTCAGTGTGACAGTTGTGAAGGTATTGCAGCTGGTCTGTTGTATGTATCATCTCTGTTCTTGAGGGAAACCAAATACGAATTGCATTTTTATTCTCAAATGATTTTCATACTTATCCCATGTCATTTCATTGGCTCTTTGTTGACTGTTTTGCTTAAAGCAACAACAAATAGTTAAATAGTAACTTTTTTCTGCCACTAGAGGGTAGTCTCTGCAAAATACTCTTCTCGACAGCATGCCTGTCTCGACAGCATGCCTGAATGGAATCGGAGTGCATTTTCCTTTTAAAAGAGAGTCAAGTTGAACATTACAGCAGTGATATCCAGCTCTCCAGTTGTCTCTTTCAAACTTTGTGAGTCATGTTATTATCTTGGGATATGATCTGTCTGCTTTACCTTGCATCAAAAGCAATACATTTAAGACCTGGATTGAAAATATTGTTTGTACAAAATAATACTTTAAAGGGGAAATCTGCAGTTGCTACATCCATTTTTGGACTTATAAATTAATGATATGTACCTAATTTGATTCTTTAAGAATATATCTTATAAATGCCTCATGAGCTTAGTTCAACTGTTGTACCCCTTACAGAACCCAAAATATAAGCTTATTTTACTCCAGTATTTGTAAATAAAGTATATGTTAACACACACTATATAGCCTCAAAACTTGGTTAAAACTATAATTTGGGATGGACAGTCCTTGCATCCATAGCTCTATCTATGAATTTCAGAGTGGTTACATTTCTCCAGCCCATCCCTCAGCTTTTTACCGAAACAGGGGCTGGGAGGAGGCTTTGTTATTGTTACAACTGCTGATTGCCGCTTTAAAACACTATTTGAAACATTTTTGATCAAGTTTGGTAAAACAGGAAGTTACCTCATCTCTTACTGTTCCATGTAAATGTTTTATGGATTTAAATGCATAATTCTGTTCTGTTTACGATCAGTGCCTCAGGCTCTAGAAAGGCTTTGTGTTCAGCTTTCAACATTTCAAAGGGAGAGCCACCCACAGCCAAAACCTCTGTGTTTTGTATGAAATTGTGCTGCAATACTAACTGGACAGGATTGATCTATTTGGCACAACTTCGTAATGGTCAAAACTGCATATTGTTTTGAAGACGTGACAACAAATACAGAGCAGCAGAATTAGGCTAGGTTAGATAAATCCTCTTCTAGTTTTTACTTGTCCAGGGACTTTTAAGAGGAAGGAGGATGTACGTAGGCTATGTGACTGGAGTGTGTCCCAGATATCCATTCCCTTGTGATCTTGGCTTCATTCATTTTGACATCAAGCGGAATATTTTACAGTACAAAGCTATTTGTATTCAACATGGAAACCTCTCCCTACCTCTGATGATAGGTTTTATACCCTTTTCAAAGACCCTGTCCTCTTCCTGATTTTGACATATCAGTCAAGTCAGATTTATTAGTGCTCTCTTAAAACAAGCTTTATTAGACTGACATCTGTTATGTAATTCTCTGTAAGATTTTGAATTTGGCTTTGGTTCAGGTAACTTAGAAATGTCCTGCCTTGCCCTTTTAAGGAAAGGCATTCTTAGGATAAAAGGATTTATGTTAGCACCTCCAAAACCAAAACTTGTATTGCTCCCCTCAACATAGCCAAAGGTCGATCATTCCTTCACATTTACACGTCTTAAATCGCCATATCCAAGGACATGGTCACCGCCACCATCCCTTCGCTTAAACACCTTCTTTCCCTTGATGAAAAGAAACAAATACAGAATGCTTTAGCTTTAAACTAAGGTACACAAAGGAGTACGTAGGGCAAAACTACCCGGGTTGAGCCATTCACCGGCTCTCTTTGTGGAGAACTTTTACTTTGCCACAGGGAGAGGTAAATAAATGCTCTGAGCCAGAACTCCAGCTGTCTCACTTCTCCTTTCTAAAGCCATAATAAAGAGGCTGGAGCGAGGTGGTGTCTCCTCCTCCACTCTAAAGCAGAGAATGAACTATGACCAACTTCAAACGCCCCGGCTGGTCTGAATGTATGTTCAAGTAAACATCCTCCACAGTTCCACCTCTTCATATCTTCTCCCCCCCCCCGTTCCTTTCTTTTCGTTCTGATGTAGTTTTCTGTTTTATTTTGGGGGGTTTCCCAAGCATAACCATCTGTGCTGGAGAGCTTTCTTCCCTCAAATGTTAATTTTTTCCTGTGTTGTGTACTGCCGTATAGAGTTGGTTGTAGTGAATGTATTTCTGTAATTTCCTATGCAATGTTTACTACCATGATTGTTGTGCTATGAGTACCTGTACTTTAATAGCTGTATGGTCTTTAAATTATAATGTTTTCTCCAAATAAAGATCATTGTTTGAACTCTTCAATATCTTCTGTGAAAGAAGTGGCACACTGTCTTGTGATGTAGAAGTTAGACTGATTCAACATATACAACACATACAGAAAGCTGATTTTAACCACTAGGAGGCTGGCAGTGTGTCAGGTGTAATACACAGTGACACTCCGTTGTCCATATTGCATGGTAATATTGGTGGAATTAACTTCTGTGATGTTTGCAGCACTGATATGTTCAGCAGCACCAAACTCTTATTTTCTGACCATGAACGGGAGTTCTGGGAGAATTGAAAGGAAGACGTATAAAAACAAAGGGAAGAGTATATGAATTGCCCGTAAACATTGTGCATGTCATAACATTTACACAACAAAGTCAACGGGACAGAGACTATATGGCTGACAGCATAAGGATCCTACTCCCCAAACTACCGTAAAATGGTCTCTGTCTCCAGAGCTTGATTGTGCAGGAGCAGTAAACTTGTGGATTAGAGTGGGCAGGGAGCCAAGCTGCTACCCTGCATGGCACTGCATGGCGTTCCCAGGCCTTCCCTGCATCACAATGCAATCAATAAAGTTACAGGAGGGGACTCTCTTTGGTTGGGCTGATTACAAAAAACACCCTGTCCCACCACCCGTCCTCCTGCATCTCTCCCCGCCTCCCAGACCCAGCCTGTGGAAAACACTCTCCTCATCCTTGTCCTTTTCTACAAACCCCCCCCCCCCCCCCCCCCCTTCATCAGTAACCTCTTCACACACACTCATTTACCACTCGAATTTGGAAGATTTAATCTAAGTATGGGAACCGGATCCCTGAAAACCGTCTGCAGCTGGGGAGTGAATGAGTGAACACAGTACCTCTGACACAAAAGCAGCCCCCCTTCCTACACCCACTGCCCCATAGCTGCTGGCTTTACTGATTTGTGTTGCTGTCACAAGTTCTCTCAAGAATCCACTCTTTGCTCATGGCAAAAGAGAGATGCAGAGAATATTATTTTCTCGCTCATAGCTATGTTATTACACATCTCACTATATTCAGTGTATCTGTATCTAATTGTATTTGTTAGTTCTTCTCTCCCAGTCACACAGTACTGACAATAAAAAAGGTGAGTTGCAGGTTTATTCAATTAATCAACTTTAAATATTTAACAAATACTCATCTATATGAGTTTCATATTATTTTTGAAGTTCAAAATGTTGAAAGCTACATTGGAGAGACTAATTTTGCAGAGTAGTTTATGGTATGCAGAAAGATTTATGTTCTTGAAACGGTTTAACTGTGTTATCCTGTTTGCAGCGTAGAGGGCTATAACCTCCGTCATTGCTGCAGGTTTACCTCAAACTGTTTGACATTTGCGCTCTCCAGATAATTTTCCACCCATTGTTTCTCCTATACATTTTCCAGAAGGTTCGAATGAGGGAATGGGTGGTGGGTGAGTATGGAGCCCATATCTCCAAGAAAGTAACAATAACTTTTAATTTATCACTCTTTCCTCAAAAGGGAAGATATGACCGTTTCTTTGTGGGTGAGAGAGGAAATCTGGCTACAATACCAGGACGTCTGGGGAACTTTTTTCTCTTTTGCCGTTAGTGAAAGGATTACGTTGTTTTTTTTTTGTAAGAGCTTGTGGCTAATCACTTCCCCCAGATAAAGCCCCCCTCTTGATTAAAAGACAGGCAGAGACCATAGGAGGGTATCAAGGGGATAGGAAGTCAGGTCTTTTAAAGGGGGGAAGGGTGGTTGCTACCTGACTACTGAGCTTTGGAAAAGATTGTGTGGACTGGAGTTAGTGTGGCAGTTCACTAATCAAAGGCTTCTGTTGCCGTTACAAAAACCTGTCCAGCCAAAGCCTGTGTTGTCGGACATCACTTCAAGCTATTCAAATCTGTAGATTGGTCTCTAGATTTTTTTGGGAATTCCATTGCTAAATTCAGTTAAGACATTGTTAACCAATCCCAACACTGATCCCCCACAACAAATCTTGATAATCTGATGCATTTTGGACCAACCAGTCACATGTAGGCTACTGAGCCTATTCAAACTAATGGGATTGTTTTGGCTTTACACAAGCTGAAAAGCTAATAGTGCTACTGCTAAGAATTGAAAGAAGAGTTGTTTAGAATCACATTGTTTTCCTGAATCTTAGCTCTCGCACTATAAAGGAAGTTATCATCATCATCATCATGAGCCACACTTCACATGTGCCATGACAAAGACATGGGATGGTTTGTTAACATTGAACTGGGGTGGGGTCGCGTTAGAATCCCCCGGATTAAAGAGCAACTTTCTTTCAAATAACCTTAAGTGCTACTTTCTCAACTCCCAGAATGCTGTTACACACCCTCCCTGACCTGACTCCGGTGCCAAGGTAATGCAGGCAGACCTTGTGGGTTTTGGGTTTCACAGAGCTCAGGGCTAACTTAATGGATTGTTTGGGCAAATCAGACGCTTTCCATTATCAGCCTTATTTTCGTCCTTCAGGAAGACAATGCCCCAAATGCCACTGGCTAAGAAAGCTGTGTCCAACTAGTATTTCATTAGAATGCCATTTGGAAACTTCACAATTAGTTTATCCTGCATGTATGCTGTGCTGTTGGGGAGGGATGTCTCAAAGCATTACAATGGTGACTTTTGCAGTTTGACATTACTGGCTCGAGGAGGCTATGTCCTTAACTATTCATTAAACACAAAGCCTGATAACAAAACGAAGTGTCTATCACCTTTCCCACCACAGCCTATTCAATTGTCTAATCATTGGGACCAAATCTATTTAGAAATGTCCTTGTTTTCGAAAGAAAAGCAATTTTTTTGTCCATTAAAATAACATCAAATTGATCAGAAATACAGTGTAGACATTGTTAATGTTATAAATGGCTATTGTAGCTGGAAACGACAGATTTTTAATGGAATATCTACATAGGCGTACAGAGGCCCATTATCAGCAACCATCAGTCCTGTGTTCCAATGGCACGTTGTGTTTGCTAATCCAAGTTTATCATTTTAAAAGGCTAATTGATCATTAGAAAACCCTTTTGCAATTATGTTAGCACAGCTGAAAACTGTTGTGATGATTAAAGAAGCAAGTGGCGCAGTGGTCTAAGGCACTGCATCGCAGTGCTAGCTGTGCCACTAGTGATCCTGGTTCGAATCCAGGCTCTGCTGTAGCCGGCCGCAACCGGGAGACCAATGGGGCGGCGCACAATTGGCCCAG